GGAGGGTCGATGAAAGAGCGAGAGGCCTTCAACAAGATGGATTGACACGGTGGCTGCGATGATGGGCTCAAGTATAGCAGGGATTGTGGGGCTGGCATGGGATCGGGCAGTGTTTCGTTCTGCTGTGCATGGGGTCGCTATGAGTCGGAAACGACTCGACGGCACTTAACAACAACAACTCATGGTATATTCAATATTCTTTGCCAGAACCATACTTAAAAGACATCAGTTCTTCTGTGGTCTCCTTTATTCATTGTCCAGCTGTCATGCACATGTGAGACAATTGAAATACTATGGCTGGGGTCAGGCACATCTTAATCTTCAAAGTGACGCCTTTGCTCTTCAACACTTTAAAAAGTCCTTTGCAGCATATTTGCCCAATGCAATATGCCATTTGATTTCTTGACTGCTACTTCCATGGGTGTTGATTATAGATCCAAGTAAAATGAAATCCTTGACAACTTCAGTCTTTTCTCCATTTATCATGATGATGTTTATTGGTCCAGTTGTGAGGATTTTTGTTTTCTTGATTTTGAGCTGTAATCCATGCTGCAGACTGTAGTCTTTAATCTTCATCATTCAGTACTTCAAGTCATCTTCACTTTCATCAAGCAAGGTTGTGTCATCTGCATATCGTAGGTTGTTAATGAGTGTGGCTCCAATCCTGATGCCATGTTCCTCATCTAGTCTAGTTTCTCAGACTATTTGCTCAGCATACAGATATGTGTGATACTAATGATATTATTCAATAATTTCCTCATTTGGTTAGATCATTTTTCTTTGGCATGGGCACAAACATGGATCTCTTCCAGTGAGTTGGCCAGGTAGTTGTCTTCCCAATTTCTCAGCATGGATGAGTAAGTGTTTCCAGCATTGCATCCATTTGTTGAAACATCTTAAGTGGTATTCTGTCTCAGAGTCTTTTTTACCAATGCCTTTGGCACGGTTTGAACTTCTTCCTTCAATACCATTAGTTCTTGATCATATGCTACCCCCTGAACTGGTTGAACGTAAACCACTTCTTTTTGGTACGGTGACTGTGTATCCTTCCATCTTCTTTTAATGCTTCCTGTGTCATTTAGCATTTTGCCCATAGAATCCTTCAATATTGCAGGCTTGAATGTTTCCTTCAGTTCTTTCAGCTTGAGAAATGCCAAGCATGGTCTTCCCTTTCGCTTTCTAACTCCAAGTATTTGCACATTGCATTATAATGCTTTACTTTGTCTTCTTGAGCTGCCCTTTGAAATCACTGTGCAGCTCTTTACTTCATCATTTCTTCCATTGGCTTTAGCTACTCTCTATTCAAGAGCAAGTTTAAGAGTCTCTTCTGACATCCACTTTGGTCTTTTCTTTTTTTCTTGTCTTTTTAATGACCTTTTGCTTTCTTCATGGATGATGTTGTTGATGTCATCCCACAACTGGTCCGGTCTTCAGTCCTTAGTGTTCAGTGTCAAGTCTATTCTTATCTCTAAAGTCACATGGGATATACTCAAGGTTATACTTTGGCTCTTGTGAACTTGTTTTAATTTTTATCAGCTTCAATTTGAACTTGCACATAACAACTGATGGTCTGCCCTTGAGGCATCACCTGGTCTTATTCTGACTGATGATATCAAGCTTCTCCATCGTCTGTTTCTACATCTGTAGTGAGTTTAATTCCTGTATATTCCATCCAGCAAGGTCCATGCATATAGTCATCATTTACGTTGTTGAAAACAGACATTTGCAGTGAATAAGCTGGTCTTGCACATTCTATCCTGTGCTCTCCAGCTCATTTCTGCCACCAAGTTCCTATTTTCCAACTAGTGATCCTTCTTCCTTTGCAGCTTTCACATTGCAATCAACAGCAGTGGTCAACGTATCTTAACTGTGTATTTGATCAATTTTTCAGATTACAGAAGTTGATTAAAATCTTCAATTTCTTCATCTTTGGCATTAGTTGTTGGTGTGTACATTTGAATAATTAATCATATTAATTGGTCTTCCTTGTAGACATATGGATATTATCCTGTCATTGACAACATTGTACTTCAGGACAGATCTTGAAATGTTCTTTGTGATGATGAATGTGACACCATTTCTCTTCAGTTTGTTGTTGCTACAGTAGATCATAGGACTAGACAGTCCATTTTAGCTCACTAATGCCTCAGATACTGACCTTAAGGCATTTCATTTCATTTTTGATGCCTTCCAGCTTTCCTAGATGCATACTTTGTAAAGTCCATGTTCCAGTTATTAATGGATATTTGCAGCTGATTCTTCTCATTTTGAGTCATGCCACATCAGCAAATGAAGGTCCCAAAAGCTTTACTCCATCCACATCCTTAAGGTTGCCTCTGCTTTGAGGAAGCAGCTCTTCCCTAGTCATTGTCTTGAGTGCCTTCCGGCCTGAGGGCTCATCTTCCAGCACTGTATCGGGCGATGTTCTGCTGCTAGTCACAAGGTTTTCAATGGACAGTTTTTCAGTCGACCGCCATGTTGCTCTTCCCCGTCTGGAAGCTCCGCTGAGACCGGCCCACCACTGGTGACCCTGCTGGGATTGGAGATCCCAGTGACATAGCTTCTAGCATCACAGCAACACATAGGCCACCACAGTCGACAAACTGACAGATGAGTGGTGGAGACAGACGAGTGGTAGATAGGTTAGTAGGTTCCCAGTAAAGAAGATGCTCTGATTTTCAGATGCTGGCTCTGATCTATCATGGAACTGATAAGAAGGAAACCAGGACAATGTATTTACTTGTCCTGTTCTAATCCAAAGGAGCTCTGGTGGTGTGGTGGTTAAGGCACTTGGCTGCTAGCCAAAAGGTTGGTGTTTCGAGCCCGCCAACCACTCTGTGGAAGAAAGATGAGGCAGTCTGCTTCTGTAAAGATTTATAGCCTTAGAAGCCCAATGGGGGTCGCTATGAGTTGGAATCTACTTGATGGCAGTGAATTTGGTTTGGGTCTAATCCAAGACCTTTCTCTCTTGCTTTCTCCCTAGTGTTGAGATAATAAGATTGGGCAACAGTTACTATATAAACTGGGATCAGAAGATGTTTTATGCACCAAGGAACATACCAGCACAGGCTCGTACCACCACCCTCAATGAGGAGCTCGGACAGGTCAAATACGTGTTCTCCGACAAAACGGGGACCCTGACCCAGAACATCATGATCTTTAATAAGTGTTCTATTAATGGGAAGTTCTACGGTATGTAATCCTCCTGCTCGCCCTGAATTCTGGAGAAATTCTGCTTTGTACATTGTTTTCAAAAATGATCAAGCTCTAATTCTATGTTGTGGTTGTTAGGTGCTAGCTGGCCAGTTTCAACTCGTAGTGACCCCCTGTGACAGAGAAGAGGTGCCCCCTAGGCTTTTCTGGGCTGTAATCTCCAAGGGAGCAGATTGCAAGTCTTTCTCCCAGAAGGTCACTCTATGGCTTTGGACCACCAGCCTTTCTGTTATCACCTGGGCTCCTTTCTAAATCTATAAGCCTCTGAAATTCACATTTCTTATTCTCACAGCTCACCATATTCACTAAGCAAAGTACACTCAGCACATTCAGTTCTAACAAAAAAAAAAAAACCTATTTTACATGTTATAGGTACAATTCAGGTATTGGGGATACCAAAATGTGTAAGACTTAGTCTCTGTCCCAGTGTCTTGAGGGAAAATTTCATTAAATACGATGGGGCAGTTGGTGTAAGGTTGAAGCTGAGGTGCCTGCCTTCCCCTGAGACCAGCATTGTTGAGAAGCCATCAGAGGCTGACGTTTGCTCAGTGTCTTCCCTTCCCAGCCCCTCATTTAATTCATCCTTTCAACATGTGCTCGTGTTAGTGATGGTGTTGAGTCCTGTGTGTGTGGACATTCGTACCCAGGGTCCTAGGAGAGGGAGCTATGCAGAGCTCAACAGCCACGGCACACAGGGCGTCCTTTTGGGGTGATGAATGGGGCGTTCTTTTAGGGTGATGAATGGGGTGTTGTTTTGGGGTGATGAATGGGGCGTTCTTTTAGGGTGATGAATGGGGTGTTGTTTTGGGGTGATGAATGGGGTGTTCTTTTGGGGTGATGAACAAGCTTTGAAATCAGACAGTGATGGTGGTTACACAGCATTATGAACACACAATGACATTGATTCATACACTTTAAAATCATTAATTGTATGTTATATAAATGTCACCTCAATTTAAAAAAAGGGAAATTAGAACATTCTACTACTTCCTATAACCCCTGCCAGATATGTTTTCATCAGGCATAATCTCTGAAGGCTCATTTTTGGATGAGTTGATTTGGGTGAAGACCTGAATTCTCTGAGTAATGTAGGACTGACCACGCACTGGGTGACGTTGAGAGCGTTCATGAGTGTTTCTGGACTTGCCGCCAGGACTGTCTTCCAGCCTTCGGTTTGCCTTCCGCTGACTAGGAACTGGAGACACTCTGGGGCTATTCTCTCACCTCTTCTTGGTGCCTTTTCTGACTGGAGGCTTTTGAGTATGAAGTCTCTCATAGGCCCAGTGACTGATCTCCAGCCTTCCCTCACTCTTACCTAAGGGAGGAAAGTGAGGGCCCCAGATGAGCTTTTCTGGCTTTGAGCTGGGAAAGGGTCTGTTGGAGGCATTGACAGGTGGCCCACAGGATTCCAAACAGCTCGACTGCAGGTTTAGGATGAAGAAACCAGCTTTTAAAAACCCTCCTTTAAGAAATAAGGGCTGTTTATGCACAGGGAGACAGCTCACGGGGCAGGAGTGAGTGGAGGGATGGGAAGAGGTGACTGTCAGGAGGAAGTGGGAGGGAGCTGTTGCATTGTGGTGAATTGAATTGTGGTCAATGTCATGAGACAAAGTGTATATGAACTGCTGTGTGGAAAGTGAATTTGCTCCATAATTTTCACCCAAATCACAATATGAAAAAAAGAAAAGAAAACCCTCCTTTAAACCCCTTCCCAAGTCTCTATTCTGTTTACTTATCAACAGGCGCTGTCTATGACAAGAACGGACAGAGGGTGGAAATCTCTGAGGTGAGTGCTTGCAGCTCCCCATGACTGCGTGGCAGCCGCACCAATGTGCCCCACCCCTGGTATCTGAAATGGTTGTTAGTTGTCAACAGGATGGCCCCAGCTCACAGGCAGCTTACGTGCAATAGCACAAAACACTGCCCGGTCCCAGGCCATCTGCCCGAGCTTTGGTGTTTGAGTCCCTCGGGACCCACAGTATTAGGAAGCATTATACTGATGACCTACGTTTATTTGGGTTTTTTTGTTTATTTTGTAAAATGAAAGGAGCTTTAGTGGCTTTCTTCTTGCTAAAAAAAAAAAAAAAAAAATCCGTGCACCATGCAGAATGGAGCTTCCTGTTCTCGTGGATCCCTGACTTCCCGGAGCCCTGGTGGCTGCATGAATCTCTGAAACCGTTGTCCTGAGATCATCTTGAAACCTGTCACCAAAAATGTCCCCTGAAGATGACAGGACGCTGCTGCACAAAGCAGCCTTTGGTGCGGTCGTCACTCGCGTCTGGGTACCAGCTCCCCGCTGCCCAGCACCCGGTAGGCTGACATCGGCCCGGGCAAAGCATAGCAGGTCTCAGGGTTGTGGCGTTGCACTTGGCGGCAAGTAGTGGAAGGGAGAGACTGCCGTGACAGGCCCAGGAATACTTGTATTCAAGGAAAAACAAACCAGAAAAAGAATTTTCATCGTGGGAAATACCTACCAGGAAGATGAGGAAATGGAGCAGGAAGCAGGCCCAGTGCAGAATGGGAAGGAAGCTCGCCCTTTGGGAAGGGGCAAAGGCCGGCAGCCTGCGGGAAATAACCGGTGACGACAGGCTCGCCCACGTGCCCCTAATTTTCGATGGGCCATACCCAGGGGCAGGTCAGTGATGAGATGGGTGGAGAGGGAGATGATGTGGGAATGTTTATGGAGGCGAGGAGAGGAATCCAGAGAAAACTGACAGAGCTGCAGCTGAGGAATTGTCTGTATCTCCTAATGGAACAACAACAACAAAAACTCAGTGCCATCCAGTCGATTCTGAGTCATAGCAACCCCTCCTTGGATTTCCAAGCCAGTATCTCTATGGAAATCGATTGTCCAGTTTTCCTTCTGAACTGTGGCTTGTGGGTTTGAACCAGCAGCCTTCTAGTTAACAGCCAGATGCCTTAGGTACTACCCCACCCAGGGGAACTCTCTAATCACCATGACCATCATAGTGAATTTTACCTTATGCCTTGACTCTGGGAGCTCTAATGGTGTGGTGCCTAAGACATAGAGCTTCCAGCCTCAAGACATAAGACAAACTTCACCATGATGGTGATCAGTGCCCTTGAGTCAATCCCAGCTCATAGTGATCCTGACTTACAGTGACCCCTCCTTGGGTTTCCAAGGCAGTATCTCTACGGAAGTCAGAAGTTGATTGCCCAGGCTTCCTTGTGAGGAGTGTGTGGGTTTGAACCGCCAGCCTTCTGGTTAGCAGTCAGATCCCTTAGGCACTACACCACCAGAGCTCCTGCTTGAGCATTCTGCTCTTTCAAGATCTACGGATATAGGATCAAGCTGACAACAGCAACTCAGAAAATCAGATAGGAAGCTTAGGGCTCAGGGAGTTTATGTTAACAGGGGAGGACTAACTTGGAACTGGAGGGTGAGCATGCTTACCTAAGGCAACGAATGTGATTAGTGTCGCTGAACTGTACACGTAGAAATGATTGGGGTGGTGTATGTTCTACAAGAACAAACAATAAACTATTAAAAATAATGCTGATTATCGGGACAGGATACAAGATCAACATACAAAAATCAGTTGGATTCCTCTACACCAGCAAAGAGATTGCTGAAAAAGAAATAAGGAAATCAATACCATTTATAATAGCTAGCAAAAAAATAAAACACCTGGGAATAAATCTTACCAGGG